AGAGATTTTTGTGGAGGAGCGTGAGGCGGCTGGTGGTGATGGTGGTGATGGTGGTGGTGGTGGTGGTGGTGGTGGAGTTTTTGCTAATAAGACAAGTGGTTTCTTGATCTCTGATGATCTGAGGATGGTGCCTAATGTGGCGGGTTCGGTTATGCGAACGCTCGGAAATCTTGGTGTTTCGGATACGGAAGGGGCCGAGTTAAGGGTTGTGACTTTCGGATTCAATGAGGTTATTTGTCTTGTCTTTAGTTATAACTTATATGTTTTCGTTGACAATTGTTTTTGCACAATTTAAAATGATTAAACACGAGATAGATAGGAGTTAACTAGTTAGGGAGGGTTGGTTTTTCTTGCAATGTAGTCAAACATTGAAGGATTTTTTTGAAATGGATTTGTGTTCTACTAAGGCCTCGTTTGGTTGGAACTTGGAAGGTCCAACAAAAAGTAAGCCATGATAACTTAATATTTGCGAGTCGACTCGGCAAGTTATTGGGATACCAAACATCTAACAAAGTCCACCTATTTAGTTAATCATGAATTATCTCCCCAACCAAACGGGGCCTAAAGGTAGTAAAATCGAAATATTTGAGGATATTCGTGTCTTGCTTTTATTATGTTTCTACAAATTGTTGTTGTTGTTGTTGCTGCTGCATTCTTTATTGTTGGATGAACGATCTTGTTACTGTTTGAATTAGATTATGGATTTGCTGAAAGGGTCGCTACTCTCCTCAACTCCACTAACCGATATCGTACTCGGTAAACAACCGACGGACTCTGCGTCAGCAGTATCTGAACCAGCGGTTTCGACCCGTGAACCGACGGAGAAAGAAACGACATCCGTCTCCAAGAAGGTCGTGAATTTGAAATTGATGGTGCAAGAATCTACAAACAAGTTATTGTTCGCTCAAGCGGAGAGTGACTTCGTAAATTTCCTTTCTAGTTTGCTAGCTATTCCTCTCGGAGGAGCCGAGTATCTTTTAGGGAGTCGGAATTGTTTTAAAAGTATAGACAATTTACACGGGAGCATAGTGGATATTATCGATGCAAAGTATTTGGCAACTCCTTACATGAAAAGCAGGCTAACGAAACCGATGTTGGCGTATGGTTACATGTCCGAAAATCGGATTCTTCCACTCGGCGAAGAAAGTTTCCGTCGACTATTGTACTACATACGTGCTTGCCCGGATAAAGAATGGTTGACTTATACCACCAATGGATATGGTGGTTGGCCTATTGGGATTGATACACCGAAAGTCCATAGAGAATATGTTAAAGGACCAATTATGTATATGGTGACCGATGATTTGACCGTCACTCCCTTGTGCATGACCTCAAGCCTTTCGATTATGAAAGAACTGAAAATTTCCATGTCTGATGTTAAAGAAATCGAAATTCAAATTGGATTGCAAGAGGTATAATACTATACGATTCGTCTTTTACGTGTTGATAATTTGGTTATCTTTTTTTTTTTCTTTTTCACTTGTTGAGATACAATTTTTTTTTCCGGGTGTAGGCTTTGAGCATATTGAGGGCATCTCTTACATCGACTTCTGCTCTGACCGATGGTCTGATGATTAATCCCGTGTTGAAGAAATGAAGAAAGCAAGAACATTAAATGTTGGTCTAGTCATCGATAAACCGGTGCTATTGTTTTGTATTCTGAATGTTTCTTAGCAGATTCTTAGTATTATGGTTATATTGTGAAGAAAGTTTTGATCTTGCACATTATGTCAAGTTTCTTCTGTCCAATTCTTGGAAGGCTGAAGAATATGTGAGGGTGCTTTCTTTATCTTTATATTGAAGGACTCTCCTGCATAAATTAATACTCGATAAAGTAATAATCTTGTTTAAATAATATTTTTTTTCCGGTCCCAACTCGAGGACCATGTGGTAAAAAATATTTCGTTGAATTAATAAAATTAGACCGGTTCCAACTGTATTAATTTATAGAGGTTTAAGTGTAGAATAATTTTTTTTTTGTTAATTGTTGTAAATTTAAATTATTTCATAAAATTTTAAAAGTTAATTTGAGTAATCAGGTTTCAATTTTTTCTTACCAATTTAACTAAATTATATATTTTTGGGTAAATTACGTCCACTCCTGAAGTAAGATTAAATTACGAAAAAACTCCTCATGTTTATGTAATTACATCCAACCCCTCCAACTATAAATCTTCTTCCACGTCCATTCTTGCGGCGTTAAATTTAGTCTAATCTTCTAAATTGTGTGAAATATTCTTCCGTTTGTACCCGTATTATGTGAAATATTATAAGATGTGTCTCTTAGCTTGTAAATATCCGATTGTGGTGCATTTTTACACAAAATGAGTACAAAGTGGAAAACATTCCACTGAATCTAGAAGATTATGTAGAATTTGACCCCGTAAGGATGGACGTATAAGAAGATTTATAACTGGGGGTGGTTTTCGCAATTTGACTTTACCTCAGGGGTGGCCGTAATTTACTCTATATTTTTTAATCAAAAAACTTAATTTAAGGTCGTGTTCTTTTGTGTTAATAATTAAATTCTGAAAATCCCAAATTTGACCCTAAATAAATTCATTTCATTGTCCCGCCCTTTTCCTTCCCATTTCTTCCATCCCCTTCACTTTACTCCTCCCGCCGTCGCCGCCTCCCCACCTCTCCGCCGTTGTTCTCTTCTCCTCGCTCTGTTCATCAAACCGCCACCGCCGACACCGTCGACACCTCCGGCGCCGCTACAGTCAACCCTTTCTTTCACCGGTACTCTTTACTCCACCTTCATTTCTCCCTTCCTCCCCATCTCCTTCTCCCTCGCCTCTGCTCTCTCCATTTTTTTTTCCTTCGTTCTTCATACGTTTACTGATTTATTGTATTTCCAATTTTCTGCTGAAACATGTTTACTGATTTTTGTTCTAAAAGGTTTTAAATTCTAAAATCGTATTTTTTTTCTCTAGAAAATTATGAATTAGGGGTTTGTAAATTCGTCAAGATATAATCGTTATCATTTTTTACCATATCAAATTTGGGAAGCTGTGTTAATTTTGGCAGACCTTTTCCTCAATCGTACGACCAACAAAATGGCTGATGAAGCAGCTAAACGAGCCGAATTCACTTTCAAAGTTGTCGTAAATAAACAGAAAACCAAAGTACTATTCGCAGAAGTCGACCACAATTTCGCAGACGTTTTATTAAGCTTTCTAACTCTGCCATTGGGAAAAATTGTGAGAATTCTGACGAAGCATTACGGAGATGATAAAGATGGACCCGTAAATATCGGAAGCTTAACCAGTTTGTGTGACGGCATATCAAACCTCAACGATATCTGTTTCTGTACGGAGGGTTGTAAGGAGATGCTGCTCGATCCGAGAAGTTCGTTCGAACCCGAATGTCGTGAACTGAAACTCGATATCCATGAAGCTGTGCCCACCAAGTATTTTTTGTGTGAAGACATGCGGTGTTTTCACTCACAAACAAGCATGTACGGTCACTCGGCTTGCGGTTGTGGGATACCTCTGAAACGAGAAGTTGATGTGGTGAAGGACTCGCAAACTGATAGCAACAAGGGAGTTTTTACCATTAACACGGCTTCGTTTCTGATCGCTGACGATTTGCGTATGGTGCCTAATGTGGCGGTATCCATTATGGAAACTCTTAGAAATATCGGCGTTACGAACACGGATGACGCGGAGCTAACGAGTGCGACTTTTGGACTGAATGAGGTTAATTTTTTTTAGTTTTGATTTAAGGGTCGACTTTTGAAAATTATTAACATTTTATTTCGTGAATCAGATTATGGATTTGCTTAGAGGGTCTTTGTTGTCGTGCACTCCGTTGACTGATATCATACTCAATAAAGGAAAGATTGTATCACCCACAGTAGGATACGAACCCGAAACTCTATTGTGTAATAAGATCGAGAAAGAGACGGAGTCTAACTCCAAGAAGAAGATGAATTTGAAACTTATGGTTCAAGAATCTACAAATAAGTTATTGTTTGCTCAAGCCGATGATGATTTCGTCGATTTTCTGTTTACTTTGCTCACCGTCCCACTCGGTGGAGTACTTGATTGTGTTTTGGGCAGTCATACTAACGGACTTAAGAGTATCGACAATTTGTACAGGAGCGTAAAAACTCTTATTGACGACAAGTATTTTTTGGCTCCCGACACGAAAACGAGGCTAATGAAACCCAAGCTACCTCGTGGTTTTATGTCCAAGAATCCGATTCTTCCTCTTAGCGAAGAAGAAAGTGTTCATTGGCTGTATTACAATTGTAATGCCGACAAGAAAGAATGGTTGTCGTATTCCGATAGCGGAAGGAAAATTAGAGTTGTGTATCCGAAAGGGCAGAGTACCGATTTCGTTAAAGGGCCAACGATGTATATGGTGAGTGACGATTTGACTGTGAAGCCTTTGAGTATGAGTTATAGTATTTCGTTTCTGAACGAGATGAAAATTCCATTGTCGGATATCAAAGAAGTGGAGGTGCAGATTGGACTACAAGAGGTAACATTTGATTCAACTTTTATGGGATGTGCGTGTTTCGGTTATGTTCTCACTTGACGAGAGTTCGTTTAATGGTGCAGGCTATAAGTATATTGAAGGCATCTCTTACATCAACTTCTGCTCTAACTGACGGCCTGATGATCAATCCCGTGTCGAACAAAACACGTAAGCTAGAACACTAAGGTCATCCAGGCATTGTAACGTGGCTTGTTTTGTGTTAGGCCTTAATCCTATTGGATCATGCGCATTTGTATCGCGGCATGTTTTGTGTTAGGCCTTAATCCCGTTGCATATTATAGTAAATTTGAGATTGCAATTCTAGATCTATAATTTTGTTGTTTTGAATTTTAATGTGAAGTTCGGCCGTTTCAACCACGGTATCGCTCTTTGTTTCTTCCGCTGTCAATTTTTTTTGATGGCAAATTACGGCCAGCCCTGAGGTAAGGTTAAATTACAAAAAAGCCCCTTATATTTGAGTAATTACAACCACCCCTCAACTATGTATTGTCTTATGAAAAAACCCTTCTTCAATAGGTAAATTTGACACCGTAAGGGTGGACATGTAAGACAATACGTAATTGAGGGAGGTGGTTGTAATTACCCAAACAAGAAGGATATTTTCGTAATTTAACCTTACTTCAGAGGGTGGACATATTTTGCCCTGTTTTTTAATTTGTTTCTGGTTTTCCTTTTCCTTTTGATTAATTTGATTTGATAAGTCATTCACTCATTCTCTGCCGCATTGGTGATTATTTAGTTTCTAATTCGAAGAATAGGTGATTAGGAAAGGATACTGTTCTTTTACGTTTGCTTATTGGGGTAATGGCAAATAGGCCCATGACAAGGGCATTTAATTAAAAGAGGGACATCCAATTTTTTTGTCTTTCAAATAAATCCAACTCATTCAAACGTATTTGCAAATAAGGAAAATCCTTTTATACATACCAAAATTACCCTCAATTCATTGAAACCCAATTTAACTCCAATTTCATAATTTACACCCCAATTTAGTCAAATTTCATCAATTAACCAATTTTAACCCTAATTTCAATTTTGACCCGCCACCACCGGAGACCGGCGGTCGCCGCCGTTGACCGCCGGTCTCCGGCGTTTACTTTTTTTTTTTTTTTTTTTTTGAAATTTTTTTTCCTGAAATTTTTTTCCGACCGGTCAACTGCCGTTGACCGCCGGGTCTCCGGCATTGACTTTTTTTTTTACTTTTTTTCTTTTTTCTATAATTTTGTTTTTTCTTAAAAAAAATATTTTAATTAATATTACTGTCTTGACTGCTAAATTACTGTCTCCGGCAGTTATTTAACTGTCGGAGACGGTAATTTAACTGTTAATTGACTCTTTTGTTTTTTTTTTCTTCAAAAATATTTTAATTAATATTACTGTATTCGTTGCTAAATTAATGTCTCCAACAGTTATTTAACTGTCGGAGAGAGTAATTTAACTGTTAATTAAATTTTTTATTCTTAAAAAAAATATTTTTAATTAATATTACTGTATTCGTTGCTAAATTACTGTCTGCGGCAGTTATTTAACTGTCGGACACAGTAATTTAACTGTTAATTGATTTTTTTCTTTTTTCCTTAAAAAAATTATTTTAATTAATATTAATGCCTTGGATGTTAAATTACTGTCTCCAACGGTAATTTAACTGTCTTAGACAATAATATTAATAATATTACTGTTCGGAAAAAATAATATTCATAATATTACTGTCCCAAACAGTAATATTACTGTCTGAGACAGTAATTTAGTAGCAAGACAGTAATATTAATTAAAATATTTTTTTTCTAAGAAAAACAATTCAAAAAAAAAAAAAAAAAAGTCAACGCCGAAGACCGGCGGTCAACGGTTGTTGACCGGCAGGAAACAAATTTCAGGAAAAAAAAAGTTTCAAAAAAAAAAAAAAAAGTCAACGCCGGAATCTCGCTGGAAAAAAAAAAAAACATTATTCCCCCAATTCCTTCAATTATGCAAGTAATTAACCCGGATTATTAACCTGAAATGCTAAAATAATCATAACCCGCTTCCGCGTGTATTACGATTCTAATACTCTAGATTCAATTACTATATTCCTATGCAATTAATTTTAGAACACAACACTAAGCACAATCTCAATAATGGCTACCTAAGAGATTAACTATCATCCTATGTTAATACCACAAAGGCTCTTCTACCACAGTTCTAATTATTAACCCGATCTTCCGATTCATGCGGTTAACAATAACATAAAAGCACATAACGTGATCAAGTTCATGCACTTAATAAAACAAGTAGAAGAAATAATCCGGAATTAAAACTTGCATAAAATCATAGAATTGGGTTCATAAATCCCACATAGGATTCAAAATAAAATCCTATAAATAAAGACTTAGCTACTCGTGATTCTTATGATAAAGAAAATAAAATAAATAAATTAAATAAGAAAAACTATGCTTGAGTCTTCGTTGATCTTCGTTCCTCGCTTTTTGTGGTGTATAATTTTGTGCTTATGGTGTAGAGACTCGTTGCTTTTATAGGCTTTTCTTGATAAGGAAGTAGAGGAAACCTAATAGGAATCAATTTCCGTCACTTTCCCTTATCAGGACTTGTTCTTCGATTTTCGCCATGTTGGAGTCCGAATTTTGGAATGTTGCGTAAATAAGAATTGTATCCCTTGAAATTAGCTTTCCAATGCCGCCAAAATCAGATGATTTGGAGTCCGTATGAGAGAGATATGCTCGAAATGGTGGACACTGCCAAAGCTGTGGCGAGATTCCTTCTTCCAATTTGATTTATTTCCTTATTTGCAACTTTTTCCTTTCTTTTTGATATTTTTTCCTTCATTGACACATAATTCTCGTTTTCACCTATAAAACACAAAATCAATCAATTAAAGCACAAATATAATTAAATCTAAACAAAAGATCTACTTAAAGTAAATGTATTGAGCGTAAAATCTACACTCAACACCCGCAGACTTAAGAGTGGTGCCGCTTCGTGTGGGTCCTTCATGTGGAAATAAAGAAATTGTAATTGAGCCTCAAACTCAGAAAGGCAAAATTATATTTCCGCCCCAAATTTCAGAAAATGGACTTCCCATTTAAGTCCTCAAAAGTGAAGTCAATTCCATACACCAAAAAAATGAAGGAAAGGAGTTTTGAAGCCAATAAGTGAAGGAAAATCCGAGTACTTCAAGTCTCGTCTCACAAATTTTCATGATGTTCTTCGCCGAGACTAGAAGTGGGCGCATTTGTAGACATTGAAATTTTGAGATAAATTACTAATTTATTAATTAGGTCTCAAATTAAAGTGTATAACATATTTGAGCTTTAAAATGTCCGGCCCATGCTGCAAATAAAAAAAAACAACCCTAATTTATGCCTATAAAATAAGGCATTCGGTGTATGCAAAAAATGAGACACACACAGACACATATCGAGCTCTCAAGCTCACGTCTCGAGCCTCCGCCTCAAATTCATAACATATTTGAATTCGAGTTGTTCGTGATAGGAAATCATATGTTCGATTCAAGAACAAGCTTTTAAGCTCTTGAATCAAAATTAGAATAGGAGAGAAGAACCAGGGGAATTCACGGAGATTGTAATCCGCTTTTGTTTGATAATAAATTTATGTATTTCCTATATTTTTCTTGTCTTGTATTTATGTTTTGCAGACTCGAAAAATAGTGTGGTTTACAGACACTACTTTCAATATCCTGTTAAGAAGTTCTGTAATGAACTTTGTCAATTACAATGAAAAAAAAAAGGGGATACCGGATAATTTCCAAGAGTGCAAGTTTTGAAGCCATCAACAATAGCACATTAATCGACCGTAATCATATGCCCATGTCCTGATGAACTTGTTATATTGAATCCAAGAGCCTAGTTTTGGTTGTTTAGAAAATTTGGGAAAAAAAAAATAAAAAGACCCTTTAAGAAGATTAGAGCCTTGTAAGTTCTATAAATTGAGCAGGCAAATGCAAATGGGAATAAGAAGTTTATGAATCAATTAATCTCCCCTTGTCTTCTCTTAATTCTTCTCTTTAATTCTTCTCCTAATTCATATCTCTCAATTTCTTCTTAATTCTCGAACTATGTTTACTTGCTCAAATTACCACGTAACAATTTCATCCATAGATGAGTCTTTATGAAATATTTTAGAGAGGAACTAAATCACTATTGTAAAGATGAAACAAACAAGTGGCTTTCATTTCTTCTTTTCCAACATGAATCGAATAGTAAAACGTATTGCCATACAACAGAAACTCATCAATCCACCGATTAAAAGTTGAAAGGTCGTGAACTTGCCTGCAAGTTTGCAATCCTTTGAACGATACATTCCACCAAATTTATAAATTTGGATCTCGTAAAAACCCAAAGGATCGGAAGAATGACAAATAGAAATAATCCTAAAAAGAAAAAAGAAAACTAACAAAAAAATAAAATGTATTCTTTACGATAATCCAAGTCTCTAGCTCCCCTTTGTCCATTTTAATATCTGAAATGCTATTCATAGAACAACTTTTACCGGCTTGCAGTGCGACTTTATTTCATTTGTAACTTTTCTTAAGAAAATTCAAAATTCTCTCAAACCCTATCCAAGTTCTTCGAGTTCTTGCGGATTAAACGAGCAATTCAACAACGATTTAAGGTAAAATTCGAACCCGAAATCATTGACCCAATGTTTTTATAGTAGTATATTAACAAATTTCGTCGAAAATCTATACGTTTTGAGTATTTTGAAAACATTCGAAAGTTTTCGGAAATAAAGTTACATTTCGTGTAGAAACTCACGAAATTAAGGGGCTAATTTCGTGAGTTTTTACACGAAATTATCGTATATGTATGTTTTTCTTACGTTTCGTGTACAATTACACGAAA